AATAATAATAATAATAATAATAAAATCAAGAAGGGGCCAAACTGGAGTTGTTTGAAAAAGAAAATTCAACTTCACCCCCAGAATAATAAGTAGAAAAATTCAATTTTACTTCTCAGAGAACATCCCAAACTAGATAGTTGGGCTGGTTAACCTTACGGAAGAGAGTCATGTGCTACATAGTCAATCTGATGTTTCTCTAGAAACTCTGTCGTGATCACCCATGGTGCATCTGGAATAACTTCATCAACCCACCTGCGTCAAGCATTGACAAAAAAAACACTCACATAAGTTGGAAGTATAAAGTAGTATATTTCTTTCCTCATTAATCCAACATAAATTACTAATAGCGTCAACCTATTCACAAGGATTGCCTAAGGAAAACACAGGTGCCATAAAATAGAAAAATACATAAGCAGTTTAAAGTCTACAGACTCGCATTCCACTAGCAGTAGATTTTTATGATGTTTCTTTTTTAAAATTGAAAACAAACTAGCATAAATCAATGAGAGCAAACACTCTTATGAAAGAAAGTAGAGAGTCAAAAGGAAGGACAAGATAAATGAAGATCACTCTTGTGAACAATGACAGTAACCTCATCATGAAAAAGCACTGAGCTATTCTATTCTGCACTGGAAAACCAAATAATTTCGAAGGTGATCTTTCTGCATTAGGTATGATATATTTGACCTTTTGAATGAATTCATAGGTAGAGAGATCAAAGTTCTTCTCATCCATATCCATTCCATTACTCAGAGGAGAAATGAGAAAACACCAAGATAAAGAAAAAGAAAAGTTTCACCCCAATACCCTCCTGCAATTTGTGTCAGTTTTACAGTCTTGCCGAAGCATATCAACAAACCAACCTGCAGTGACGAAGGGATTCATATCGTTCCTTGTCGGTCATTACAGTTTTGCCCTTGTATTTATGAGTGACTTCATCGTTGCAGCATCCAACAAGCAAGTACGTATTCGGAAAACTGCAGTTTAGCAATGGGTTAGAAAATCTTACAAGTCTCACTTGTGAATAACTCCAAATGCACTAAAATTATCTAACATAAATACACTACTTACGGAGTAAAAAAACCCAAGTTTAACCCGGACCTTAGTTCAGAGAATTTCTAATTGGGCTGTTAATATTCAAGATATATTGGACATAATTTCCACCTCAAACGAAAATATAATATTCTGAGAAGGACACCGAGAAAAAAAGAACAGAAATATGATCCCTGACCAGGGAGCAATAGAACTGAAAAAAAAAAAAAAAAGTTATTTCCGGTGACAGTCATCAGTCCAGACAAGACAAATAAAATCATTAATCCGATTGGTTTACATGAAAAGTACAGTAACCCAATTTTCTAATCCAACAAAATCAGAACCCACTTAACAAATAAAAACTAAAGAAACAGAGAGAAAGCACAAAACATAAATGAAATCGCCTAAGTCATTCATCCACGTGAAGAAGATAAAGAAGAAAATCGCCTAAATAATTTTTTTTGATAAAAAATCGCCTAACTAATAAAAATAAACTAGGAGGGAGACCCAAAAAATAAAAAGAAAAAAAAGAAAAAAGAAACAAAGTTATGAATTCCGAAACGCATAGGCATTTTCAAGGCCCTTCAAAGAAAATGAAGACACACAAAATTCCAACAAAAATAAGAACGGGATCAAACAAGATATTTTAAAAGGGGAAAATGAGGAAAACAAAGAAGAGTAAACTCAGCAATAGAAGAAATTCAAAAAATAAGTGTTGGAGAATTACAGTTTCTTGGCTTGCTCGAGAGAACGGGCATGCCCAAAGTGGAAGAGATCGTATATTCCGTCTGCATATACCCTGACTGGTCTGTTGTTTTGCGATTCCTCCTTCTTCAGCTTTTGTTCCTCCATTGTGTACAAAGCGCCAATCAAGGCCTGAAACTTCCAATTTGGCTTGCCTCTGTTATGACGGCAGAGACCACTGCACGCCCGCTGATAGAACTATTTTTTTCCTCTCAAAAATAATAATAATAAAATAGTTAATTAATATATGACTGCTTGTACGATCAGACAACTTCTCAACTGTACATATCTTTACTTCTTTAGTTTCGTTAAGTTCTTTTCTTGTTTAAATATTCCTCCCCACTCATCGGTCCAGACCGGTTTAGTTCGGTCCGGTTCAGATATAGCGAATTGGGACAGATGAAATTGGGCCGACGCGTGGCTCATTTTTTTTTGTTTTTAATAAAAATAGAATTATCTAATTACATGGTGAACTGAGACAAAATAAGACGTAAATAATTAACTAAACTATATGGAGTAAAATTGTCTTATTTCTTTTTGTAACATCCACTAATTTTATAATTTTTATTATTATTATTTTGATTTTTTTAATTTATTTTATTTAGTTTATTTTATAATTTTTGAATTTTAATTGATTTATTTAATTTAATTTAATTTAATTAAATAAAAATAAAATAATAATAATGATAAAATTGGGTAAAAATATTATTTGAATTTAATTGAAATTGATTTTAGAAAAAATGGGTGAAAATTAGGATTCTGATGGTATTTTTGAAAAGAAAATCAGAAACCGGGGGTCAAAACGCAATTTAAAAAAATTGTGCCCCGTCAGCGCCACGTCAGCAGCTACGTCAGCGGCCTAGTCAGCAGCCCTGGCCAACCAGGACCTGCCGCGTGGCAAGACCACGTCGACCTGGGAACGGGCCACGTGGGCGATCCGCGTGCGCGCGATCGGACGGCCCAGATGCGTCCCTGCGCACACGGACGACCCAGATCAAGCGTGCGCACGGACGGCCCAGATGCACGCGCACGGACGGCCCAGATTTAATCAAGATGGACGGCTGTGATTAAAAGACAAAAGGGTATAAATAAAACCCCCACACCTGACCACAAAAACCCTAGCCGCCTGCCCTCGCCGGAGAAGATGAACCAGACGCCGGAGGAGCCGGCCGCCGCCACCCGCCGCCGCACCAGAGAGTTTTCCGACTGCCGATCGAGGTAAATTTCATACCTCCAGCTCGTTTTTCAATGCTGAGTTCCCTTGTGGCCAAATCGGAGCCAAAATCCCGGCCAAATGGCCGAAAAATACGGCTGGAACCCAGGGCGCCGCCGCGCCCCTCCTCAGTTTTTGCCTCCGATGAGGCCCTTCCCGGCCTCCGTTTGATATAATTTTTATATCACCATGATCTCCATTCTTTTCTCTACAGGTTGATCGGAGCCAAATCACCAAAATACGAACCTCGTCGGAGAGCCGCCGCACCCGAGAGCACCGCCGCCGGTAAGCTTCGGTTTTTCGTAATTTTTTGGCCCCCCGAGGGCCATAGGGTTGTTTTATCGCAGGGACCGATGCAAGTGTGGCCGAATTCAGTCGAAAACGGCCAACCCGAGGCGAATCGCCGCCGTTTGTCGCCGGAGCACGGCGGAGCCGCCGTGTCGGAATTGCGATATTGGCCGAAAGGGGCCCTGGGTCTAATTTGGGATTTTTTAGGGACACGTGCAGGTACCAGTAGTGCGTTTCAGTTCCCCGAAAAAATTCAGAGAAAATTAGGGACAGCCTGTAGGCGCACTGTAGAGCCGTTTCAGACCCCGAAACAAGTAAGGATCCCTCACCCTATTTTCTATCACGGTATTAAAGTTTAATAAATAATAAAACGGTATTTCATGAATCAATAGATGTGTGAAATTGTTTAAGGTCGCTAATGGAGTCCGAGTCTGGTGGGTTTGTCGGTCAGCTGTTGTTTGGCCTATTTTACAGTTTTTAAATGCAGTATGAGGTCTGATGTTTTCGTTTCATAGTTTCGTGTGCATATATCACTGTTTTATTGATTGTGGGTTGAATGACTGAGAACCCGATATTGTATGTTGTCTTGTTTGGCATAAATTACTGGTTTGCTTGTTTATGTGTGATTTGATGATGCTGACTGAGGAAAATGGGGAATGAAAGGTTAAGTAAATTGATAATTGTATAATGTGGTCAGCCTGACTAGATATCCTGGGAGATGGTGGACGGACCGGGTCCGTAAGGAACCCTACCGGGATTGTGGTCTCTCATACCGGACGGGATATGGAGACCTTATGTGTTTTGGCGCCTATACCGGACGGGGTGTGGGGATGACCCGTTTCACCCTTATACCGGACGAGATATTGAGGTTTATAGTTTTGGCGCCCATACCGGACGGGGTATGGAGACGGCTCTAGAATCTGATTACAAGTGTTAAGGGTTCACGGGTAGCGGGACCCCCTATGGATCCCCATGGATACTAGTAGGCTGGTAAATGAGGAAAAATATATTGTGTAACGATTGAAATATAAAAGGCGTGATAAGTATTATGTTATACAGTTCATATAATTTTATGATGATGATAATGTTATTGTTTTCGTATGTTATTTTATGAACTTCACCGAGGTAAATGGATAGTAAAAGATTTTATTATTGATAAAAGAATTTGTTGTAAATTATGCTCCATTGGTCTTTTTGTGTTTTCTACCCACTTTTACCTCCGTGACGGTGAGATAGTGTGATGTCCTTACTGGGCTGGTGGAGCTCATTCCTTATTTAATTATTTCATATCAGGAAGACACTATTCTCGAGCCCGTTCCGCAGGAAGACAGCAAAGGAGACGCCTGAAGACTCCGTAGTTATATTTATAGCTTTTATTTTTGAGTTTCTCTTTTAGTTAGTTTGTTCTTTTATACTTTGAGCACGTTTTTGGTTTTGGTGTAAGAGATGTTAATCAAAGTTTTTATTACGCTTCCGCATTTGACCTTTTTAATACACATATTTCATTTTAAAATTTCGGAGTCGTTACAATTTTATTTTAAAATAAAAAATATTTGAAGCCAGCACAATATTGCAATATGTAAAATACTCATATATTTATTTATTGAATTAATAATTTAATTTTTTTCTAGTAATTTTCAATTTATCTGAAGAAAATTAATAAAAATGCCATTAATATGTATACATATGTCCTTCATTATTTATATATATATATATATATATATATATAAGACAGGCTGCCTGAAAATAGACAGTCATAAATAAAACCAAATATGTAGGTAGTCGTTGGGGGGTTTATTATTATTTTTCTCTTTCCCGCAAGTTCATCCAATTAAATAAATTATATTTTAAAAACTATTTTTTTAGGAAAAAAAAAAAAAAAAAACACCCTTTACACTAAATGATTTAAAATATAATTTTTACTTGTGCGAATAGTCACGAGAAATAATTTCTTACTTTTTTTTTTCTTAATCTATATATCCATATAAAAGAAACACCGAAATAATTTGAACATATAAAAATAAAGTAAAATTATTTTAAATTACTTTTTAATATAAATAATATATATAATTATTTATTTATTAAAATTTTATAAATATAAAAATAAAATTTAATTTTTAGTTGAATATAAATATATAGACAAAGGTAAATTATAATTGAAATTTGAGAGTATAATATATATGTATATATTTCCTATTTTCCCTTTTGAGTTTTATACAGCAACAAAGTCTGCAAATGTTTCTTGATAGTTTCATACTTGGCCATTTTGTATCTCCAGAGGGAGACCACAGTTTTTCTCAATATATCTCTGCGGAGACAAAGTGACCAACATAAGCTTCAAGATGATCTACCCAGTTACAGTATAAGAAAATATGCTCGATGATCAAGCTGATCGATCATAGTTCAATGACATGAACCATAGAGCTACCATTTTTCTCTTGGCATTAAACGATTAGATTTGCAATCAGTACCAGCATTCAGCCACCTCCTCTAAATCTTGAGAGTGCTGCGTCTTCTCTGGTGGTCCACAGGTTCTTGGATAATCTCCAAAATCATTTTTTCCAGGTCTTGCAATCTCCACATAAATCAATCTGCCGTCATAAATCTACAAAACAAGAAATTAATTGGGAAAAGTATTGGTAAAAATCATGAAGATGAATGAAGCATATTGACCAGAGAGAAAGTAAAAGGAACTGTTTTTCCAAAATGCGGAACCTTTTGATCCATGCTCTCTAAGGCAAAAATGGCATCATCTTGAGAAGTGTATTGGATGAATGCATATCCTTTGGACTTTCTAGTGGGGGATTGGTCCTTAACAAGCTTAACTGCCATGGAAAGTAATCGTTGAAAAGAGATTTTAAATATTTCAACTGCATCTAATCTGGAGTGAACATTGCTTTCAACTAATTCAAAGCTAGTTGTTCAGTTATTGGGAAAAGACACTATGAGTACCTTCAGCTATCTCACCAAAATTTGAGAATTCCTTTTGCAGGCTACTTTCATCCGTCAAATATGGTAGATCTGTAGAACAAATAGAAGAGCAAATTTTCAAAACAAAATCTTTAAATAAGGATGCAACTCTCTCTCTCCCAAACCCAAAATGGGAAATAATTTTAATTGAATTATACTTTTGTGGTTTCTATCATATATTGAAGTAAATAATTTCTCCAGGCTATTTTTCTCCCTTGGTAATGTCTGACGCTATTACAATTTCATCCCAGCAAACAGTGGATACACCCCACAAGTTTTGCAGCAGAATCTATATTCAAGAACAGACAAAAAAAATGATATTATATTTCAAAGTTACCAGACTATAATTGATTTGGTTACCAGACCCAAATGCTTAAGTTCATATAATAGAATGAACTCACTGACATTCAAAACACATTTCTGGACCTGCACCTATCAACGTAAAGACCTCCAAATTCACCCTTCCTTTTCCTGAATGCAGCAAAATCTGTAAAAAGTGACTGCAGCCTAGCTTTTAGTTTGCCTTTGACAACTAAATTAAACACAAATGAATATTCCTCCTCTCTTCGAAACTAAAGGTATTTTTGGTCCTTCCAGAACTTGAAACAATCTTGTCTTCTTGAAGGCAAGATAAATATAATGATTACTGACCTTAACATTTTTCACCTTCACTTACTCAGTTGAGTCTTTTTTTGAGGGACCCAACTCAGATTGGACAAATCAGTTTTATGTATAGATATTTCATCCTAATTAAATGGACTCAATATAAAAAATTTCAAGAATGTTTCTGCATTCGTAATATATAATCAAGTAAACAGAATTTACCATTAGCAAAAAAAAAAAAAAATTTCATTATGGCACCCTTTCATGCCAAGTGAACTGATGCAATATTCTAACACTGCAATGGCAGCTTAAACTTGGATTTATATCATCATAAACCAAAATGAAGACAAATTTCTTAATGGAAGAGGTTGCTAAGGCAGCTAAGTTCAAGTACAGTGTATACATCATGTAACATATCTCTTCATTACCCATTAGTGTCTTCAAAATTAGAATCCAAACACACAGCGTCAGACACCTGACCATAGACGCTTTAAAATAAATAAAAGTATGAAATGAATATAAGACCAAAATGAAACATGAATAATCTTTTATCCGATCGATCATAATCATAAATATTACTTGAATATGTATCTCTTACTCCAAAAGACCATTGTTCTTGCCGGTACTAACTCCTTAAACAAAATGTCAGTTACAGAACTATTCTCACAGCAAGACGTCTAAGGTTTGATTCCCCAATCCAGGTTCCCCCAGTCTCCCCATCTACCTACTGTTCATGTATAAATTACAATTCTTCCTAACCACACACAGAAAATACCCATCTTAAATCTGGACAACAACATTAATCTATTAGATAAAAAGCATCAAAATTGAACATTCATACGCATAAACATTAACAAGCATAAAATCGAAGCTAAACAAATTGAAGAACATGGAAGATGACAGACACTAAAAAATAAAGGAAACCCAGACGAACAATGAATCCATAACGAGGAAAAAGGGATAAACTCATCTTACTTCTAACCATGATTCTGCTTGCAAGAGGATACGTGAAGAGTGATGCTTTCAAGGTCAGTCTTTTACGGTTTGTCTGAGTTGTGACAGACGTTGAAAGAATCGGCGGAGGAAGAGAAAAGGATGATGCCCACATGGCTACATCCACTAATAGAGATGGTAAGAAGAGGGAGTCCAGAAACGAAACAAATTCTAGGTCGGAGATGGGATTAGGCTTAAGACATACTATCTCCTCACTGACCACGGGCTTTTAGCTCACTGATTAAAAATATTTGTACCCAAATATGAAAATTTTCATTAGTATAGGTATTATTCCCAGGCAAGAAGGGTTAGGGTTTTTAATTTTTTACTTCAAAAATTAAAAACCCAATATTACATATAGTAAATTTCTAAATCTGATATTAGGATACTCAATTGAGTCTCTTGTAAGGAATTCAAGATAACGTAATTTTTAGAGACTCAATTCACTCCCCTCTTGGATTGCCTCGTATATGTACAGAGATTATTATACTTATGCATTAATTAACGAGCTAGAGTTAGAGATCTCGAGTTTTTATATTTAGCTAGAGTTAGATAAATTGACTTTATCTTCACTCTTATTCATTTTCTCTACAAGCCCATGATAAGGATATACTTGCATATGATTTATAGAATTTATTTAAAAATTAACAGTTATTTAATTATAAAGTACCGAAGATCACTTATAAAACTATTAAAAAACAAGTTTCCAAATAATTGAAACTAAAACTTTTTTTTTTAAAACAATTTTTATGAAACTTAAAATGTTTTTCATTTGAAGTTATTTAAAAATTCAAATTTCATCATTTTATGAGAGATTTTTATTATTGAGATATCTCAATAACTTCTTAGAAAAGTATATAATTGTTGAGTTATATATAAGAACTCCAACCGTACACTAATAATAACTTGGGCTTGAGTTTTTGAGTATCATTGATGTAGTCCAAATATTATATACATTTAGATTTTAATGTGTAATTTTGATATTAAAAAAATCAATTATTGAAGTAGTAAAAATTATGATATTCTAATTTCATATTAAAAAAATATATTTGTTGAGTTTCATATAAAATCTCAACTCATATACCACCAATAACTTGAGTTTAGTCATTTAAGGATCAGTGGTTTGATATAAGATGTTGTAAATAATATCAAAATATGTGCCAATATAGTGACACAAAACTAGTATGATCTTGAGCCTTTTAATTTGTAAGTGCAATGTGTAATCTTGGTAAAGGCATTAAGAATATGAGGTGGTAAATATTATAATATCTCAATCCCATGTTAGAAAAAATATAATTGTTGAGTTTCATATAAAACTCAAGTTACGTATTACTAGTAATTTGAGTTTAATTTTTTTATAAATCGAGATCCTAATGCATATAGATACAAATAGTCCATGGGAGCAAGAATTTCTAGAAGTATTTGGAACATTTCGTTTCTAAGCAGAAGAACTATTTTCAAGTAGTGCTTGATCAATTGTTATTAATCAATATGCAATTGATTGATTTGAGGTTATTAAGAAAAGAAATTTGTCTAAGTTACTTCGTTTCTTCTTGTCTAAGTTATTTTTTTTTTCATGAAACTCACTTCATTTTTTAATGAATTTCTAGAATATCTCTATTTATAAGTTTGAAATCCACATATAGAAATTGAAAAGTCAAAATGACCAACTATTTGATTAATTGTTAGAATCAATAAGTTTTCAAACTATTCATTTACAAAAATTGAAACTTTTCTTATTTGATGATTATAATATTTCTCAAAAATCAAAATTTTTAATCAATGGAAGAACAATATTATTATTTTTGTTTAATAAGATACCAAGTGGATGATTGACTCATTCTACACTGAAAAGATCGTATGAAATTTTTTGATAATATGAATTCTTATTCCTCAGTGATATCCCACAATCTAGATAATTGGTTGAATTCCATAAACTATTTCATATAGGTTCTTTTATATATT